TGTTAACGTTTAGGCTTTTTAATACTAATTTATAGTAGAATAGATCATTTAATTCAATGCTGCAGTGAATCGTAGTTTTATAGATTTGGTTATATTAGATTTTCAGTTTTTAATTAACATTTCCACCAGGTTATATGTTGTATTATGGCAGAATAAAACCAAATCGGATGAGGCGCTTTTCGTCCATTCGCCGGTGGGTGGCAGCAGCGGACACAGGGCTACAAAAACAACCAAAAAGAAGTATAAAACCCGGAAATTACGTGTGGTGCAGAATCAAAACAATTAAAATGTGACAGCTCGGCAGCGCAGCGCGAAAAGGCTTCTACAATGCAGTGGGACATGCTCCTGCCAGTGTCAGAGATCCACGACACCGTCTGAACAACGTGTTCACCGGACTGTGAGGGATGCCCATCCGAGGAAACGGGGCTTTTGGTTAGGTGATCCGCTCTCTGTGCAGACCAGCTGCTCGGCTTCTGCAGCTAACCAAAGTTGCTCCATGGCGATCTATGGGCTGAACATTACCATATATAGACCGGCCGCAGAGCTCCCTCGCCGGTGAAATGTAAACGGTGGCTCGCTGAGGAGGCTGACTGAACAAAACAACTCCGAGAAGGATCAAACGGTAGCCAGCTTCACCATGTCATCTGATCAGATCATTGCCATCGTCATGGAGGACAAAATCTACGAGGTGAATAAAAAGAAGCTGATAGAGAAGAGCGACTACTTCCGCGCCCTGTACAGCTCCGGTATGAGGGAGTCCACGGAGGACTCGGTGCAGCTGCAGGGGCTCAGCGTCCCCGGCCTGGAGGTGGGCCTCGAGTTCAACAACACCTCCAAGGTTCAGGTTGTCAACGAGACTCTGGAGGACCTGATTGAAACCGCCTCCTTCTTGCAGGTCACCTCCATCCTCAAGCTGCTCACCTCGGAGATCCGCCTGGACAACTGCGTGGAGCTGTTCAGCCTCTCGGAGGTCTACGGTACTCATGATCTGCGTAATGCTTGCCTCAAGTACATGAGCTGCTACTATCACCCCATGCTGAGGCGGCCAGAGTTCACCAGCCTCCCCTCTGCTGTCAGAGACCAAGTCAGGGAGATGCGCATGAAAGGCACTGCCACCCTGGTAGCCATCGGAGACTTCACCTGTCTGTCCCTGGACGTGCCAGATCAGGATGAACCCTGGTCCATGCTGAGGTATGTGGAGGTGGAGCAGCGCTGGAAACCCCTGGCCAACAACCTGCCTCCAGATATGATCAACGTGAGGGGCTATGGCTCCGCCGTCCTCGATAACTACCTGTTCATAGTGGGTGGATACAGGATGACGAGCCAGGAGATCTCTGCGGTGCACTGCTACAACCCCTGCAGGAACGAGTGGAACCAGGTGGCTCCGCTCAACCAGAAGAGGTAAAAAAAACACACGTTTCCTGTCAAATATGAACAGCTGCTGCCGCCTTTTACTCACTGCGTCCTCTCCATCAGGTCCAACTTCAAGCTGCTGGCAGTACAAGGGAAGCTGTACGCTGTAGGAGGCCAGTGTTTGGGCACGGTGGAGTGTTACAGTCCAGAACAGGACTGGTGGACCTGTGTGTCCTCGATGCCCGATCCGCTGGCTGAGTTCTCTGCCTGTGAATGCCAGGGGATGATCTACGTCATGGGCGGATACACTGCGAGAGGTTGGTATCGCTCAGTTCAAGGATTCAAGGTGCATTTCCGTACAGTGAAGGAACTGCTGCTCTCCAGGCGACGGTGTCCCTGAGCAAGGCACTGAGCCCCAGCCTGCTCCTGATCAGCAGCTCTTTTTGTTCTGTTCTCACATTAAAAGTGATGCATTGAGGGGTCACAAGATGATTAAAGGGATACAAGGGATACAAAATTAGGTCAGTTTGTTTCCCGACCTTTCTCTAGTTTTTGCATATTTCTTCTGAAACACTACAATCAAACAACCTGAGGAGGAATAATCACTTTTTAATGTCCACACTGAGGTACAAAATCTGTCTTGTAGGAAAAAAGATAGGTAGAATAACACAAAAAGAGGCTAAATAGACAAAAAACACTTAAGATATAGAAGTCTTTTCCAGTTGTTCCAGTAGATTTGTATGCAGAGGTTGATTCCTAACGGAGACCCGCTGATGAAAGAGTGTCTCATCCTCCTTTTATAATCCTATAAACTCTGTATTTTTAGTGGTTAGATCACAGCTGTACCAGTCAGTAACACAAAAACTAATACCATCACTGCTTTGTACCGAGGTGTGCTTTGTCTCTGTTATTTTAATACTCAGAACACCGTGTTGTCTATTGTTACTTGCATAACTGCAATTATAAGGGCCTTGGTGGGCGCTCAGAGTGTTACAGTAGTTATTGCTGCCCAAGGGTGTATTTTCCACTGAGGACAGGGAGACATATTTTTTTGTCCACCCCCCTACTTGGACTGTTTTTGTTTGATTTCCTCAGTAAAATCTCTCTAAACAAACTCCTGCTGAGGAGAAACTCTGAGTTGATAAAAATGTTGAAGCACTCATCAGAGTTTGCTTCGCTTATTACAGTTTGCTCGCAGTAATCAGCTTTAATGGCAGCGATGTGCTGGAGTTTTGTTGCCCTGGGTTTTGTCTTTCAGGCCGTTGTATACCGGTTCTATCTATTGGTGGAGGTTATTGTACACAGACTGACAGGAAGACTGTGTACAAGACAGTAAAAGACGGTTTCTAGTTTGTTTCTAGTGTGATTTTAAGTAGGTTTAGTGAATTACTAATGGATCATTTAAAATGTTGTATTTTGGGACACTGGGACACATAATCGGTGATGTAACTGGATGTTTTGTGTCTTTCAACATCAGACACACATCAGCAAGGTTGGTGGAATGGTAAATGGACTTGCACCTGTCTAGTCTTCCAACCACTCAAGGTGCTTTCCACTCACATTCATCCATTCACACACTGGTGGCAGAGGCTGCCATGCAAGTTTCAAACTGCTCAGCAGAAAGTAACTAATGCTGATTCATACACTCTCACACACCGGTGGCACAGCTTTCGGGAGCAGTTTGGTTCAGTATCTTGCCCAAGGACACTTGGACATGCGGACTGGGGGGAACCGGGGATCAAACCGCAGATCTCTACCTCTGAGGCACAGCCGCCCTTGATCAAGGCCTGGCTTGTGTCCCAGTAGCACTTAAACTCCACGGCTCGCTGTGTTTGATCCACAGTCATCTAGAGGGATCTTTTCGCTGCCTCAGTGGCTCCTGTTGGCTTTTGTTTTCATACCCTCGGTCATTCCCAGTAGACTGAGCACTTTGCTGAGCTCCATGTTTGATATAAATGTATATATGTTCTGGAAATACCTTTTTATATTTAGTTTTTTGGTTGAGATATGTCTCATTTCATTATGCACCCACACATTCTGAAATCAAATCTACACCCTTGGTGCAGCTTCATGTTAGTGAGAAAGAAACAAGTTCTTTCTTCTTCTTTGAGTTTTTCTTTCTGCGTCTGACAGACAGGAACACGAGTGTCCTCCGCTACTGTCCCACCTCCGACACCTGGACCGTGTTTCGGTCATGCTCGGCGCACATCCGCAAGCAGCAGATGCTCTCGGTGGAGGACACCATCTACCTGGTGGGTGGCTACACCCATGAGCTGGAGGTGGGCCGGCGGCGTGCCAGCCAGACTGAGGATGTGCTGACTGTGCAGTCCTACAACGTGACTACGGGGGAGTGGATCCAGCTGAAGGAGAACACGTCCAAGTCGGGCCTGAACCTCACATGCACGCTGCACAACGACGGCATCTACATCATGAGCCGGGACGTCAGCCTGCCCACCAGCCTGGAGCACCGCGTCTTTCTCAAGTACAACATCTTCTCCGACGCCTGGGAGGCCTTCAGGCGCTTCCCGGCTCTGGGACAGAACATGCTGCTCTGTTCGCTTTACCTCCCCAACGTGCTATGACTGAGAGGGCCAATGGTTCAGTGAACACTAACAGATAGTGGAGCCTATGCAGCATTAATATAGGCCAGTGTGTGGCTTTGCTTGTTGTTGCACTGAATGGGGCTCTGTGGCATTAGTGGAAACAGTGTTCGGTTGCCAGGTTGAATGCCTTGTGACCTCTGTGCCTCAAAAACAAAAACGCACTACATTGTACATACTGCTGTGGATGCAAACACAAAAGCTACAATGACAATTATGAAAGTGATGAAGCGCTATGGCCCGTAGGTCAACAGCATCATAGCAGCTAGCCCCAGTTTGTGCCTCTCATGTATTTATTTACATTTAGTTATGCTCAAGTCTCATTAGCGATAATTATCCGGACAGTTTGAAAAACCCAGAAGGTTGATAAACAACACTTACTGCTGTTCTGAAGGTATAAAGGATCCTCAAAGACTCTCCTGAAGGTGGGGTCGGTGATTCTAATCCAGTACACTTCTTATATCTCCTCATGGCTGTGTAAATGGGAAACAAACAAAGTGGATTTGAGTGGGAAACAGAACACTAACTTGTTATTCCAGCCAGGATTTAATTGTAAAACAGCAAAGTTTTTTTTTTTAATGTGCAGCAGATAGAATATTTCTCCATCCCGTGTTTTAGGATCCAGCAGCAGTAATTATTTTTCAGAGGAACAGATGGTTACCATTGGTGAATGTTACACCAATACATACAGGCACAAACTGGGGCTACATAACAGCATGCTTTTAAATCTATGGGCCAGAATATTATTGATGTTTACACTCCAAATATGGCATTGGCATACATGTTTATCCATAATTCACTACAAACCTTAAAATGCATTTCTTGTCTATATGTACTGTACATAGCAGATAATCATTAAAAATGGCTTTGGTTTTACACTGCCAGTTTTATGGGAATTAAAGGTCCCTTGAAAGCTGTTGTTTGGGTTGACAAGTGGCTCAGATGGAGCTTAATATGTCGTATGCACACTTGCACAGTCTTATTTTCCAGAGATACACTAAGCAAAGCTTAAAGCGCAATTCCATGAACTGAACGATGCACATGTGCCTTCTGCAACCTCAGTTAATAGGAACTTAAAATAATAAAAAAAAAAGCACAAAATGCAAGACTTTGTTACATTGCCAGCAACTGACCAAAACTGCTGTGTTGTATTTATTTTTTTCTGCTAAAGCAGATTTTGTTTCCATTAAGGTACTTTTCAGTTCCTTGATTAAATAATGGGGATGTGCCGACATGAGAAATGAGCCTCAAAGCAAAATTTATTTGCGAAACTCTTGAAGTTTTGTGTAAATGCAGCACTTAAAATGTTTAATTTGGTGGATTTCAGACTCTCTTTGCATTCATTATTTGTTTGACGGTTTAGACAAATAAGGTCATGGTAATAAAGATGATGTTCAGGGGTTCATTTTGCTGTTTGTCCTTTATTTCACCGGCGTATATTGTGTCATTTTTTCCATATTCACCTAAGGTTTGCTCCTATATTCATTCAAAATTTCCAAAACAATCGAGAGAACAGGCTGATCGTAACACATAATCTGTGATGTGACATCTTCCCACAATATCTTCCACAACCCTAAAGTAAGTCCTCTGTACTCTCTACTCTGTAGGTCACCATGCTCCATTCCTTCCCAGGAATCCTTGGCACAAAAAACCCAACTAATCTGCATTTGTGTTCCTCAGAGTCAGGCTGAATCTGTGCATACTGATGCCCCCATTAGGAGTTGAGATATGCTTTGGTTAGATGTCCTGTGATCCTGTAATAGAGGTTGGGGAGAAGAAATTCTGTAGGTTCCTTTGTGTGTACGGGCAAGTCCCAAAGCTTTTCCCCATTTGTGAAATAATCAGAGACTGATGTAAATATAGTAAATAGTTAACTGAATAAATCAATAAATAATACTGTTAGTTAAACATACTACAAGGAGTTTCTAACGAGACCATCAGAAAGAAGATTGGCTATTTCTGTGTAGTTATTCTTAATGCCTGCCACCGGGTGGGATTTCCCCTCGTAACAATGGAAATATGTTCCAAATGGTCCAATCCATCGTAACTGAATGCCATCAGTTACTTTTATCAATGTCAGCCTGTGACAGTTATATCAAACTCGTGTCTGCTCTGCTGGAAAACAAGGAGAAGTCATGGAAGAAGGAAGAAATGGTCTAAAGTGTGGTTTCATTTTACTAAGAAACTACTCTTTTTATACACTGTTCTCGGACGTAGAGATAATAAAACAGTTGTGTTGACGCTAAAAACCTGTTTAGGCCTACTTTTTTCCACACAGAAAATTAATCAGGAATCAATAAGGGAATTGACAAAGAATCAGACGGATAAGCAGAATTGATGCAATTGTTATCAACAAAATCTTATAAATTGTCATCCCTATCCCCTTTAAATCCCTGAAACAAAGTTGTAGAAACACTACCGCTTTTGGCCACAGGGGGCACCAGAATCAACACAAAAAGTTCCTTGTAGGGGCTTTAAATATTATAAATATAACAATTAGGTTTTAATTTTGGGTTGATTCACCAAATTACAAACAAAAACAACAGCATATTTTGTAACTTACCTATAGTGGTGTCTATCCATGCAAATTCCAGTTTAAAACCTTGCAGCCATGATTGACACACAAACAGGTGTTTTCACTTAATCCGGCTAATTATACCCCCTCTCAGAGAGTTTGAGTGACATCTCTCTCACTGTCTGGACACATTATCCTCATTAAGATTTTGACGACTTCCTGTAATAGTCCTTTATAACAGCAGAAATTTTGACTTGTCATAGCAGGAAAAGCACAGGTGTCCCCATGACGGGGACTACCAATTGTTCGGACAGACAATTATTCCAAAACCCAATAGTCTGAAAAATGTCCCATTGGACTGAAAGCCCAAGACAGCCTGTCATCCCAAAAACAAAATCCAACTGCTCAGAAGTCCCATTTTTCAGAAAAATAGACTCTCCCTTAAGTTTTTTTGTCCTTTATATCTTAAAGTATTACGATTTAAAAAAAAAGGCGGAGTCAGGTGACGTTCATCAGGTGACCTTTCTCAGCATGGTAACAATAGTCAGGTGACATTCGTCGTCATAGTCACGTTCCTTTGCTTTCCTGGCAACAATAATAAACACATGGTTAACTTTGTAAAACAGTGGCAGTTAGATCAGGTTTAGGCATCAAAACTACTTGGTTAGGTTTAGGAAAAGATTGTAGTTTGGGTTCAAATAAGTCAGTTGCATCAGTTAAGTTACGTACGTAATGTGGTGATACCAGAATGTGTATTTTCTAAGGGGATTGGTCTTTGGAGCAACAGGCGCTTGTTTTTGGAATATCAAGCTGTCAGACAAATAGGCTCCTGAACCAAATGGACATTTTTCAGACTATTGGGGTTTCTGAATAATGACGCCTCTGAACAATGGTATGGGGTGTAAAAATAAATCAGTATGAACCACACCAGGAACCTAAACCCAAAGCAACAAAATGGAATTCAGACATTGTTCATTTTATCATCTTTGTCTTTTGTCTTTTCTTTTTGTGCTTTTTCTACTGTGACAAAATGTCTGTGAAAAATGAAAGTTGTAATTTTGTTACTTTTTTAACACTGTTATGTCGTATTTTGGATCTGCAAATCCAAATTAGGTTAACCTTGTAAAATAGTACCAACAGGAAAGAAGTCAGCTTTATAAAGGGAGAGAATTAAGACAAAAACTCTTCTTGAGACATACAAATGTATAAGAGACAGAAAAAACACACAGTCATTGAATGGAGGTTGAAGGGTTTTAACTGAATCATCCGCAGAGGTGTGCTCTCCAAAACAAACTGACCCGGTGATTAAAACTGATAAAAACACAGAATAAAGCAGTTTCAGTACAAAATTCTGTGTTTCTCCGACACTGTTTGGCAGACAAAGGATGTGCCAGGAGGGCTGTGAGCCAAGCTGCTGCTAACGTTAGCCAAGCTTGTTTCTCTGATAACTTACAATGTCTGATGACTGAAATTCGCTTACAATATATAGTTAAAAACATCCGTAACAATGTGGCTTAAAACTAGACAATTTATGACAGCTTCTGGCAGACAACCACAACACTGACGTATGCACAAAGGAGATACGTCACAATTGACAGGCGACTGATGAACCTGGATAACCTTGGTAAAATTTGGGATTTTTCTAGGTTTGATCATTGATGGAAACATTTAGGATAATCTAAGTACACAACTCAACAGACATTTTAATGTGTAAATGTTACATATTACAGATTATGCACCGTTTAACTAGCAAATGTGGAGTTGGACATGCTCTAAATGCACTTGCGCCATGTACATATATACTATAAATAGTTTAAATAGGGCCCCAAGAGTTACACTGTAAGATTAAAGGATCATTGTGCTGAGGAAGGCTAAAGTAGGTTAAAGTGTTGTTTGTTGTTCAAATGTATTGCTACGTGCTGTCAGCTGGAGTGCATTTTATAATACAGGTGCAGTCGCAAGAGGGTATTATGACCTTGCCAATCATGTAAGACAGGAAGCTATTTAGGTGTCTATTATCCCTGCTTATTGACCACTGGTGTTATTATATTGGTGGTCTTGATGTGGTCTTGATGTATTTATATTGCTTGCTTTGTTTGTTTTTTTGTTTGGATAAGACTATTACACTTGTAGATTTATTGTGGAATATTTTGAATATGAGATTTTATGCCTGTTCGGGGCTGTGATACAGCAGCTAACAGTACTGTGGAGGGTTCTACTGTTAACATAACACTGTTCAAGAGATCAACAGTTAATTAATTGCATATGATGTTACATATATATATTTCTTTGTGCAGTGATGATAATGAATGTGTTCTGAATGGAAGAGAGATTCTGACTGGGATGTTGATCAAAGTAACACACAGTGGAAACAATACATTTGTGGCATTTTGTGCATTTTATTTGTATGGCTGCAAATCATAACAGAAGTTATTTCAGGACACTTTTCATACGGAGCAGGTCAAGACCATACC